TGCCTTGGTGTTTTTCTTTTTTGTTTGTTTGGGTTTTTTTTTGTTTGTTTGTTTGCTATTGTTTATTTATTTTTTTAAAGGATGTGCATCTAGGCTTATGTAATAAGGGTTCTCTTAAACTGATTTAAACAATAGGTTGTTTTTCTAAGTTTAAGCAGGCTCTGAATGCTTTTAGTGATAGTTCACTTTTCTGCATCACCTCATTTCACTAATAATAAAAATATGAATTTTTCCCTGTTCCTAGCTAAATTTTTATCAAAGGAAAGTTAATGGCAGTATAAGGCTGAAGTGTTACTCTATTCTTATTTTATTTTAATCTGTTTCCTTATCGTGACTTATTATAATCAACATCAGATGTCTGCTGCCCAATTTGTTTTGTGTGGTTAAATGAGGGCTCCACCAAATCTACATAACATGAATTATTTCCTTAGAGTTGTGGATAACTAGTTTAATTTTATGCAGATAAATTTAAAAAAATGACTCTATATATCTTACTTTTTCACTTAAAAAGGAACCTCTGCTATGAAACTATAAACAGGGCAAACTCTATTACAAATTCTATTTATATTTGGATAAACTCAAGATAATCATGCTTGCAGAACATAGATCACTGAACCATGAAGGAGCACTCAAACCCAGGAATGCCTTTATTATCTGCTTAATGCTTCTCCATTTGTCTTAATTGATTTCTTAATAGCCTATCTATCAAATAGATTCACTTTAACCCATGTTATTTAGAAACTGCTAATAAAATACTAGTAGCTCTGGTGGTGTAGTGCCTAAGGCACTTGACTGTGGTTCAAACCCACCAGCCACTCTTCGGAAGAAAGGTTGTGCAATCTACTTCCACAGTGATACCACCTAGGAAACCCCAGGAGGGGTCGCTATGAGTCAGGTCCGCCTCATCAGCAAATAACAACAACATAAAATACTGACAAAAAAAAAAAAAAGACTATTTTTTCTAGAACAAAAGGCACAACGACCGTCCTTTATTCTGCCATATCAAACCACCGCTGTGGTTCAGTGAGCACTTTATTTTCCCACTTGAATTTGAGTTCTTCTGAAAGATCACCCCTGCCAATCTTGCGGAGATGACGAGCCAAAAGGCGAAGTTTATCAGTGGAAGTTGGGAGTGATTTCTTCCAGAAGCTAAGAAGTTCATGGATCTGTTCTGTGAGATTATCAGGGTTCTTCAGTTTGATGAGCTGAATGGTGCTGTGGCGTAGAGGGAGGGAAGAGGACAGAGACACGGCATTGTCTTCTGAGAGCTCCTCTGCCAGCCAGTACAGCAAGTCATCCCAAAGGGCTTCTGTTGGGTACATGTGGAATGTTTAGTGTTAGGGACCCTTTCTGGAGTATGTGGTTTCTAGCTCAACACACCTGTTTACAGGCAATCCTGGCGCTCTCTGGCTTGGTCTCTGAACAATAAAACTATTTGGGACAACTCAGATGGACACTTGAGAGTCTTTGCTGAGGTCACCTCCTCAGGGGACCACTGACTGCAGAGCGTTAGAAACACTTCTCAAATTCTACTGTGCCTGAGGACCACCTGAGAACTTGTTAGGACAGTTGCTAGGCCCCCCTCAGAGTTTCTGATAGAGCAGGGCTAGCTGTCCTTCTGATGCTCCCTAGTCTTTTAATCAAGGAGCCCTGATGGTTAAGCATTCTGCTGCTAACTGAAAGATTGGCAGTTCAGATCCATTAGCTTCTCCATGGAAAAAAAGACCTGATAATCTTCTCCTCTAAAGATTATAGTCTGAGAATCCCTGTGGGGCAGCTCTACTCCATAGGGTCACTATGAGTCAGAATTTACAGCACATAACACAACAGCAACAACAAAATTCAATTACTTCTAATAGGTCTCATACTTTGTACCTCTGTACCCATAATGTTCCTAATGATCAGCTCTGTCAATGGTCATCTTCCTTCCACCTTAAACTATATTGTCCTTTTTATCTTTCATTTCGTTGTTCTTAATTTGCCAATTCCCAGCCCTGATTTCCTCACAGATCATTCAATTTCTTGTCTGTCCTGCCTTATGAAACTATGCTGAATATGGCCAACAAACACTATGCTATCTTATATCATTTGACACCTTAGAAGCTTACAAGTTAGTTAATTTTTTTTCACTCTTTAAAATTTTCTAAACCAAAGACCCTAAACTTTCCCACGGTCCCTAAGCTCCAGTATTATGCTCAGACTGTTTCACTTAGCTGCTGTCTGCTCTCCCTACCCAGAACCATTTGAACTGAGTTCTACTAACCTCATTTCCATTTCAAAATCACTTTCTTACACAATCTCACTCCTCCATGTCTGTTGGATCCTATCTCCTCCCATACCCTCTTGCAGCATTTTTCAACACGTGCTTTCCCTTCACGCTTATTTCTTAATCTCCTCACCAAAGACCCCTTACGTGTTTCTTACAAATACTGTTAGTTCTCCCTTTCCTTGCATCTGCTACTCTTTCAAATTACTGTCCTCTCACTTTCCCTTCACCAAGAAATATTGTCATCTAATGTATACTTGATTCTGCAAATGCCTCACCAGCAACTCACTTCTTAAACTTTTGCTTTGGGGGTTCTACACCTAATCTAAAATTCCACAGAAGCCTTCCCTTTAAATATTTGTAGATCCTTCCCAATCACCCTTACAAAACTCTTTCTCAATCTTCGACCACTCAGTTCCACTAAGCACTCTTCTCCTTTCCTTGGTCCTATGACCCTGCCTCACTCGGTTCTTTCCTTCATTTTCCCTTTCACTGACTTTCTTTCTCATATCTCTGAATTATATGCTTATTCTTAGGTCTTTTAGGTGAATTCGTTAACTCTTACCACCGTAGCAAGGAGCTCAGATGGTGCAGTTATTAAAGCATTTGGCTGGTAACTGAAAGGTAGGTGATTTGAACCCACCAGCAGTTCCTTTGGAGAAAGATGAGTTAGTCTGCATCTGAAACTTTGTAAGGCAGCTCTACTCCATGCTACAGGATCTCTATGAGTAGGAGTGGACTCAGTGGTAGTGGATTTGGTTCATCACCAACTTAATATCTCTTCTCTGTGAAATATTTCCAGATCTACTATATTTTCATCTTTGGCTTTACTTCTCAAATCTTGAGCAATTTGCAATATTTGTCTGTTATTTATTTTTGCCAGCCAATTCAAACCCCATATTTATAAAATCAAACTTGTCAACTCTGTCCTTTCTTTTCTTCTACCTGATCTTTCACTCTATTTACTTCCTGAGTTAATGTGACTACTCAGTTGAGTAGCCAAAACATGTAATATTATTCAAGATTCCTCAAAGCCTATTTCTGATTAGCCACACTAAATCCTATTGGTCCTAACTCCAAAATCACTCAGATATTTCCCCTGCTTCTCTGCCTTACTGACTCAGTCACTGGAATTATCTGTTCTCTGTGTTGTGGAAATCAGATTTCTAACTAGTAAGCCTGCTGTTTTGCTTCATTTTATCTTTCAAACCACTGATAGAACTTATGAAAGCCTAATCTTATCTTGTTGGTCTCTTAGGATCACTCTATTGTCCAAATTTATTAACATTTAAATCTTTTCATCCTTTTATCCTGCTCAAATGTCTAACTTCATCTACTATCTCCTTCTTTTAGCAGCACTGTTGGTATTGGTCATGAGGGAGAATTCCCATGTGGATGAATATCTCTCAACCTTTATTTTCTGAACCCTCCAGATACAGGCACAGGAACCATCTAGGACTCTTAGAACACATAGGAAGATCATTAAACATTGTGTTCTATGATGGTTTACAAAGGTAGTAATTGTGCTTTAATTTGAGCATAAAATTATTTAAAAGTTGCAAACCAAAAAAACCAAACTCACTGTCATCCAGTTGATTCAACTCATAGCAACCCCACCTTGGGTTTCCAAGGCAAGTAGATTGCCCAGTCTTCCTTCTGAGTGGCTGGTGGTTTTGAACTGACAGCCTTCTGGTTAGTAGTCAAACGCTTTAGGCACTACTCCACCAGAACTCCCTTTGAAAGTTAAACCAATATTAAATATATTGGACTTTTATTTATTGGTATTGGATTTGTTTATTTGTTTTTGCCTAATACCAAGAGCTCTCTCTTTGAAACAGCTGTATCATGTCTAAAAAGGTACATAACACTAGGTTTTATTCCCATACTACTTACTTTCAATGTAGTCCAGTAAAACCTACACTCTTTTTGTTCAAATAGACAAAAGTAAACCCTGATTGAAATTCTGTGCCATCAGTGGTGGGCCTGATATATTAGCCAAAGAAGGAAAAGAAAACACATCACTGATAACTTCGGAGGACTAATTGGAATAATAATTGATGTTAGTAGTTACTAATGTGGTATATATGTACATATATACCAAAACAAATGGTTTCAAAGGCTAAAACAGAATAAAGGTCAAATTCTACCCTCAAACTCTGCATCATTGTTATATAACTGAATTATGCATAACTATAACGAAATATTAAACATTCTTCCTCCATTTTGTACCAGCTTATCTTTATTTAAAATCTGTTGACCTCAAATATTTCTTTGAGGTGACCACACTATAAGATTTATAATGTAACATCATTTCGGAACAAACTGTGGTTGTCTGCCAAATTATAATGACTAGTTGTGTAAGTAAAATAACACTCAATTAGGTTCTTATTTCTTAAAGATTTTATGAAAATTTTAATTAGATCCACATTCAGAAAAATTATTTTGTTTTATTTGTTTGTGATTTCCTCAAAGGCAGTTCATTTATTAGGCTGACAAACCTAAAAGTTGTTTAATTGCAAAGTCATAAAGTCCTATTTTCAACTCTTTACAATAGGGATTCACTTATACAGATACAAAATATGAGGGGGAAAAAAGCACACCATAATAGGACAGAGTAAATATTCCTTACCTAGAGGATCTGTAGAAATTCTTTTGGTACTCTGTGGATGATTGATTAATTTTTCATGCTACTGGGGAGAAGGGGCACAGAATAACCAGAAGAAATCATTAATTTGTGAATAAGTTACAAATAAAAACCCATCTGAACTGCACCTCAATTTGGAAAAGTTCAGAATTGTATAGCTTGCAAAATTAGATTGTGTATTTGTGCATGCACAGTCAGCAATTGCTTTCCTAAGATAAGACAAAGGATATTCATCCAATTATTTCAATATATTTCCATTTAAGAACATACTTTAAAATATTAATGTAACACTCATGGCATTCACATTAATGCTGAAAAAATATTTTCCAGTTAAAATTTATAATTGTTAAAATCAACGAATATACAGAAAATTACTTCCAAGCTACAGACATGGCATTTTGTAAAAGCCCTGTGGGAGCAGGAACCTTGCCTAAACTTACTCAACATAGTTTTTGGCAAACAATAGGCACACAGTTTTTGTGGATGAATGAGTGAAGAAATGTGCATATGTGAGAGTAAAAAGAACCAAGCTGTTGAGCAGATATTACATTAAAGCAGCATTTCATCAATAAGTAATCACATATATAATTATAAGTTCTCTACACTATCTGCAGAACAGTTTCTTGTTAATTAACATGCAATGGTGGAAACACAACTATGGTACATCCATACCATGTAATACTATCAGCAATAAGAATGAATTGATACAACAAATTGGATCAGCCTCATGGCATTATGCTGAGTGAAAAAATACAGCCTCAAAAGATCATGTACTATATGATTCCATTTATACAACATTCTTAAAACAACAAAATTATAAAGATGGAGAACAGATTAGTAGTTTCTAGGTGTTAACAATGGATGTGGTGGGTTGGGGTTTGTGAGGGGCATTTCTATAAGAAGATATCCTGAGGAAGATCTTTATGGTGACTGAATGATTCTGTATCTCAATTGCAGTAAAGTTTACATAAATTAATGCATGTGGTAAAATTGCATGTAATTATACAAACAGATGTAACAATGTCAGTTTCCTGGTTTTGATATTGTAGTTGCATAAGATGAAACCATTGATGAAAATGAAGTGATGGGTACATGGGGTCTTTTTGTACTATATTTACAACTTCTTGAGAATTTATAATTATTTGAAAATAAAGTTTTGTTTCCTTTTTTTTTTTTTTTAAGTGTACTTCACAGTGACGAGGGAAGGATGATGGAAAGTCCTGTGTGTTCATGCATGGTACATTATCTGGTTCATACTAAGTACTCAATACGAGTTGTATGAATATGAATATCATATTTTGCAGAAATACTTGCCACACATGTTACAAAAGATGGAGGTATATAAAACTTGCCACATAGGAGTGAATTAAGAAATACAGAATAAGTCTAAGGAGGTGGCATATGATCAAGAATCAATGGTAATGAGGGAAGAAATTGAAGATGCACTAAAGGAAGTGGCGAAAAATAACAGTACAGGAATTGACAGAAAACCTATTGAGATGTTTCAACAAACAGATGTCATGCTGGAGGCACTCATTCATCTATCCAAAAAAAAATTGGAAGCAGTTACCTGGCCAACTGACTGGAAGAGATCCATATTTGTACCCTTTCCAAAGAAAGGTGATCCCACAGAATGTGGAAATTATCTAACAATATCATTAATATCACATTCAAGTAAAATCTTACTCAAGATAATTCAAAAGCAGTGCTGCAGCAGTATATTGACAGAGAACTTCCAGAAATGCAAGCTGAGTTCAGAAGAGGACATGGAATGAAGGATATCATTGCTGATGTCCAATGCATCTTGGCTGACAGCAAAGAATACCAGAAAGATGTTTATTTGTGTTTTATTAACTATGTAAAAGCATTTGATTGTGTGGATCATAACAAATTATGGATAACATTGAGAAGAATGGGAATTCCAGAACAGTTAATTGTGCTCATGAGAAACCTGTACACAGACCAGGAGATTATCATTTAAACAGAACAAGGGGATACTGCATGGTTTAAAATCAGGAAGGGAGTGTGTCAGGGTTGCATCCTTTCACCATAATTATTTTATCTGTATGCTGAGCAAATAATCCAAGAAGCTGGACTAGATGAAGAAAAACATGGCATCAGGATTGGAGGAAGACTCATTAACAACCTGCAATGTGCAGATGACACAACTGCCACACAGTTGCTTGTTGAAAATGAGGATGACTTGAAGCACTTACTGATGAATATTGAAGACTGCAGTCTGCAGTATGGATTACACCTCGATATAAATAAAGCAAAAATCTTCACAACTGGACCAATAAGCAGCATCAAAATAAATGGAGAAAAGATCAAAGTTGTCAAAGACTTCATATTACTTGGTTCCACAATCAATGCCAATGGAAGCAGCAGTCAAGACATCAGACAGCATATTACATTGGGCAAATCTGTTGCAAAAGTCCGCTCTCATGTGATGAAGAGCAAAGATGTCTCCTC